CCTGCTGTCTGAGATCGGTCCGTGTTGTTTTCTTCCATAAAAGATGAATGGCTAACAAATAAATTATTTTAAACCTTTACTGCCTCTGGAAATATAAAACTTATAATTGTCCCAGAATTTATACTTTTGGTTTTAATGCAAAATATGCACAGCCTGCAGCAAATACAGTGATGTGGAAAAATTGAGGAAATTGAAAATAAAGCCTTTTTTAAATATATTTTGTGTAAAGGTGGAAGTTGTTGGGGAAACTCCCAGGCTTGTTCCTGCACAAAATGGATGTCCAAGGAGCTTAGTATCTAGCAAAACGAAGTGGACCCCAAACCGAGCCTTGGGGCATCCCACAGATAAGAACAGCAGACAATATGGTTTATACAGACACAGAAACTTTTATTTCAAAAGTCAATTGATCTAAAAACATTCAAGAGATAATCTCCAACCTTGTTTTCTGTCATGTAACTTCAGTATCAAGTTATTTTAGCTCTTTTTATTGTTTTAAGTCCTAAAACAATTTCCAAGTTTAGTTTATGAACTCAATTTGTAACATTTAGTCTGTATGATACTGGTCCTTGCATTTTTTAGATGAAACACAGTAACACTCAAATCCTGTCAGCTTTATCAACTTATTCATCTTAAAAAGGTTAGATTGATTTTTTTTTTATATATATTTCTGTGCGAAATTTGCGCTATTTTGTAGCCTTCAAAATACTGCTCTAAACTTTGTTTTATTTCGACTAAGATAATTAAGCTGAAAAGTCTAACAAAACTAGAACCGCTGTCACTGCTTCAAATAAAGTTCTGTTGAATGCATCTTACAAAAACTGGATTGGTTTTTATCACAAATCGCTCTTTTATTCAACCATTTATTTTGTTTAGATTTTTTACCTAATCCGTGTTGTTTGTTGCTTCTGTGGTTGTGACATTGTCTGTTTATACGACAATGAAGTTAAACTAATAAAGTCTTGCATGTGTTTTTAAAGGCCGCCCTCCAGGTCCAGAGATGGAGTACTGCACTGACAGGGAGTCCTATTCACTCGCAGCAGGACTCGCACTTGGCATGGTTTGTCTTGGGGTGAGTGACCCAAATAAAAGCACAAAGTTTGTGAAACAAATGGCAACAGGAAAACATTTGTAAGTCTAGATTTTCTTGACTTTATATAACTGTTAATATTGTTTTCTTTTCAAGGCCAAATCTCGGTTTTACTGCAGGTTTATGCATTTTATATTAGTAATATGTTTTTGTAGTTTTGTGCTTAAATGTTTCTTTTACAAGTTTTTGGATGGTAGTTGTTTCAGGAAACACTCACCATTTTCAGCAATGACATTTTTTGTTTGCTATAAAGCTATTTTTTTTTCTACATAGACACTTCAATGTGTGAGTCTCTTTTAATTTTTATTTTTATTATCGATTCCCCTAATCATTTGACCTCTTCTCTCTCTGTGTTACCATCTCCTCTGCGTTTTTCAGCACGGCAGCAACCTGATCGGAATGACGGACCTCAATGTTCCCGAACAGTTGTACCAGTACATGGTCGGGGGCCATCGGAGAGCTCAGGCCGGGGCCAGCAGGGAAAGGCACAAGTCTCCCAGCTATCAGATCAAGGTAGACGCAAACACAGAATTGAAAGGTGTTACAGAATACAAAAAGGAAATTGCAGATTGCAGTGCTGTAAAAATGGCAAGTGCCAAAATGAGGTTTCCTCACATGCCAAAATGTTTCAGAAGCTGTGCTGCAATAGAGGCTGCTGTCGTTGGATTATTCATTCAAATAACTGTCTTCGCAGGAGGGTGACACAATAAATGTAGACGTGACGTGTCCAGGAGCCACGCTGGCCCTCGCCATGATCTACCTGAAGACCAACAACAGGTAGGACAAGTTTTTTTATGAGGTTTTGATCCAGGATTACTTTGTATTCAAACCCAACATTCTCCTATCTTAGCTGTGAATCCCCGCTGCTCCTCCAGAGGTACCATGAGCCACATGGCCTTTCTGTCTAGGTGGATGGCCATGTGATCAGAGGTTTGCAGTTGTCCTGCAGCGTTTTTCTGATAAGCAGCAGTTCTCTGTTAGATATACAAAGCTTGGGTGCATTATCTTATTATCTAGCCCTGCTTTCACATAACTTTCCACAAGCTATATTTAGGTTTGTGGTTGTTACGTGACAAACTGAGTTTCTCTACTCTATTTTTAAAGTACCTAACCTGTTAAATGAATTGATACATTCAGTATGTGTATTATTCTGCTTTATAGATGTAGTTTGTATAGCAGTTTTTTGCTGAAAATCTTCTTCCTTGTTGTGCCACCTTATCTTGTTTTCCTCCACTGCTGTGTGACTTTGATATCTGAAGATGCAAGTTTTAAACGAATCCGGTTGAAAAAGAGGTGAGGGCATTGGCGATGTAGCTTGGTGCAAAGGATGCAATACAGAGAAACGTACTTGAAACTTTTTCTAAGTGGGCATTTGTGAACAGATTGTAGATTTGTGCACACCACATTATGAAATCTGTGCAAATAATATAGAAGTACTTTATTAAATGTGCTTAATCTCTGCTAAATCGAGCTAATTCTAATCCATGTGAACCGCAGAGCATCATAACCTGACGACAGAAGAAAACTCCTCCACCTCCCAGCTGTGTAGTTGGTCAAGGGGTTCCTAATTTTGTCAACTCTCGCCCGACTTTGTCTGCCTGTTAGCGGAGAAGGTGTTGAGGCAGGGTATTAACACTCCCTTTCTTTCATCCCGGTTCTGTCCTTTAGGTCGATTGCTGATTGGCTGAAACCTCCAGATACCTGGTTTCTGCTGGACTTTATTAAGCCAGAGTTTCTGCTGCTGAGGGTTAGTGTGACGTCAGCTATGCATCTCTTCGCTCATGAGTCGGATTATATTTTTCCCACCTCTCCTAGATGTGATGTACTTGCTTCTCTTCTCCAACAGACTCTTGCACGGTGCATTATCATGTGGGATGAAATCCTGCCGAACACAGAGTGGGTTAAGAGTAATATACCCCAGGTGAGAAAATGCACAGATGACGGCATTACTGATTGTTCCTGTGGTGTTGTATTTTTGTAGAGCTCGCAGGAAGTTGCTATAACACTCTAAAATCATACTGGTTGGCTTAGAGTGTATTTTACGTGACGAAGCTTTTTATAGAACAAACATTAAGGATAATTATTTCTACAGAATGTCAAGATTCAAAAGGCTAAAGCCAGAGAATGCAGTGAATCTGTGGTAGAATTAAATATCCTGATGAGGTAAAAGTAGAGAAAACAGCTGAAACGTGTCAGTGCTACTATGTCAGCATGTTTTCCTTCCAGAACAGTTTTCTGTTTTTACTTTATTGACCTTAAAAAGTTTAGTTAGGATCCTTCTCTTTTCAGCAGTTTAAGACTCATCTCAAAGCTTTATTTTCTGCCTAAGATTTTAGAGAGGGTTGCAATCAAGCAGTTAACCGCTGGTTTTTATTGGTACTGTATTCTGCACCACTTTCAGTCTGGGTTTTGTAAATCCCACTCGACTGAAACGGCTTTTCTTAGAATCTCAAATGATATTTTGATGCAGAGTGCAACAGTAAATGTTCTGTGCTGCTTCGGTGAGAGCTGACTTCAGCTTTTGACTCTGCCTAACAGGTCTAGGTGTTAGGCTGGTATATCACGCTCAGTTTTGCAGAAGTTGTCTTGTCTGATGGATGCATCTTCTTGACTCCATCAACTTACAGATCTCGTTCCTGTCTTGTTCAGTTTGGCGTTCCACAGGGTTTTGTTTTGGGGCCATTGTTGTTTATGATCAGGCTGCTCCCTCTTATGTCCCGTATTGTCATTTTTTTTAAAGGACATCTCCTGTCATTGTTAGATATAATGACTCAAATTAGTTAGCTTTGTTTCTATCTCAGCCCACCATTAAAATAAACATAAAGAGAAACCAGGGATGATTCTGTTATTGCAGAACTTCATACAAGTTTTTGGTACATTTGTCATTCATTATGATGCCATGATGTCTTTTAATTTTTTTTTATCGACATGTCAATAAAACTAAGTAATTTCATTGTATTATTTGGTTTGTTTTAGATCATGAGGGGGAATTTCGACCCCTCAGAAGACATCAATATGGACACAATGGCGTAAGTACAGAACCCAAAATTATCATTTTAAGTTTGTTTGCTGCCAAGTCATTGTTATTTTAGAAGTTAAATCAGCCTGAATAGTGCTTTTACTTTACTTCTTTACATCCAGGGTTTTGCAAATATTCTTTCACATGTACAAACACTTTTATTTTTTCATCTTGTTGATTTTTATTTTTTTTATCCATTGAAATATTTTAATAAAAATCTTCTGTTTTTTGGCGTAGGATTTCTAAAAATGTTTTGTTTTCTCAGTCAAGCCCAAGACTACATCACCGCTGGCGCGTGCATGGCGTTGGGTTTACGCTTCGCCGGCTCTGCCAATTCCGACGCCTTCGACTGCCTCTACGACTTCGCCAAGACCTTCATGAAGATGATGTCGTTTGCTGGCACTGCGGCTGTGGGTGCAGTGCGTGTTTATTTCTGTTCTTCACCTTTCAGTAATTTGCCACGGTCATGGAAAGTACTTGTGCATTTCTCCCTACTTTGTTTTGCCTTAACTTGCATTCTGGTCCCCCTCAGCAGATGGGTTATTACAATCTACAAACCTGCCTGTCGATGATCCTGCTGGCGATGTCTATGGTAATGGCGGGCACCGGGAACCTGAAGGTCCTGCAGCTGTGTCGCTTCTTCCACAAGCGAACCGGCGGCGAGATGAACTACGGCTTCCACATGGCTCATCACATGGCCCTCGGCTTGCTCTTCCTGGGAGGTGGCAGGTGAGATGAACACAGCGACAATGAAAATACTGAAACACTGAAATAATGCTTAGAGAATGAATCTAGCAATATTTAAATTACGGAAAATTGCTGTTATTTGCAAGTTAAAATTGCCACAAAAAAAAAAAAAAAAAAATTATAATTTAAAAACTATATTAAACTATATAAAACTATATTAATGATTAATGATTTGCGTCAACAAGCATCAAATGTGCTTTCCCATGTGAAAGCACACAACACTTGAAAATCTGTAGAAAGGAATATTTCAAGACATTTTCCTTTCTACAGATTTTCTTATCTGAAACCCATGAATAATCATCTGTACCCGATTGACTTCAATAATCTAACCAGTAAACCGTTATTCTTATAATAAAAGCAGCGATTCTGCAAAGAACTCAGGTTTGTTAGATTTGGTGATACCTCTTGCATCATCGTGCAAACCTGGGGACGATGGATGTTTCGGGTCTCAACATCATCCAGAGGACCCAGCTCTGACCTCGACTTGTGTCCCAGTTGGAACCCACACAACAACCACCGTGTGGCTTTCTCTGCGACTTCGGTTTCAGATTTCATGGCCCTCCACTAAGCCACCCCTGCAATGCGTTGTCTGCAGAGGGAGCCACCAGAGAATCCTCTGCAGCCTCATCTGCAAGCTTTGGGCAGCTGCTGGAAAGAGAATTGCTGGCAATTTTACATTTGTTTTTCTTATTACTCAGATTTATCTTCTGCTGCATTTACAGTCCGTCTTAGAGGGGACTCGGCTGATATGAAAAGATCAGTGGGGGTGTAAATGGCCCTTCAATATGCATGTTCCTAAAATGTTCAGAGTACTTAAACCCTACGTCTACTTTTATTTTGCAGATAAACAGATTGATCCATAAAGGGTGCGCCGATTTATTGGTGCCGATTTATCAGTGCCGATTTTCTTAATTTTGGGAAATCGGTGATCGGCTGAATCTTACATGTGAAGCCGATTTATCTACCTCTGTAAAGGAAGGTCTAAACACCAAACAGTGTTCTCTTCTGCTCTCCCGTGAGAAAGGTTGTACTGATGGCCTACCAAGTCATGTCTCCACGTTTACCTTCAACAATAATTACCCCTCTGTTGCTAACTTTGCAGCTTTTTTCCTATTTTGAGAAATATTTCATACAGAAAAAAAATTGGTATCGGGAATTGGCAGGTAAGGCTTTTTTTCTTTTTTTTTTTTAATCGGTGATCAGTGCACCCCTATTTACTAATATACAATTTGAGACATTTTCATGTAAACATGTTTAACCCTGTAATATTTGGCCTACAACCATCTTAGTGCTGTCCTCTTTGGGTTGAGCCGTGGTTGCCGCAGTTGAATTTTCCTGTTGCTTACGACCTGAACAGTTTTGTTGATGTCTACATCACCTGTGTTCGGGTATAAAACCGTCCCACTCAGACACACACCCCCGTTGCAAGTCAGCAGTTGGAATTGTGAAGGTGGCGAGTGTCGATTCAATAGCATTTTTCTGCTTTGCACATGCGTGACTCATTTGAAAAGTGGACAATGTCTGACTACAGAACCTAGGAAGTGGGAGAGGCTTACAGCAGCACTTGATTCTTGCTCAGAGCAGTTGCTGCAGAACGAATGGTGCTTTCACATGTTGACACCAAAGACTCCAGGAACACAAACAATGTTGTTAGGTTTGTAGCTGGTAATTTTTTTTTTCTTTTTCCAAAAGGAGCGTCTAAATATTGCCATAGAACTGCTAAGTTAGAAACGGTGCTTTCCGTCATCCTGACCACATGTGCACTTAACCCCCTCAGCTCATCCAGACACTTGAGCCTGTATTTTGGCTCCGCCCACTTTGGAATTTTTTAAAAACTTGTCAGCTTTTACATGAAGGTTGCATACGCTTTAATCATTAGAAATTTGTGGCCGTTGATGGTAATAATCCTCATATTTGATCTAAAACACCTGGCAGTGAAGGTGCTCCATAACAGATTTAGAAAACTGGCAGTCATTTTGTCTCGGTGCCCATTCTGATTAACATGCAATAATTGCATTTATTAGTATTTTCGACTATACTAATCTTTATTTGTGCTGTCATGAGATCAGCAGTGGAGTAACAATCCCTACTATAATAGTTAAAGACTTTGATCACATTTTCTCTTCTTGGCATTCACTAACTTATACATCCTGCTACAAGGGGCATGCAGAGTATAATTAAGTCGCCAAAGAATGGAAAAATGAAGACAATAGGTCTCTCCTCGTGAGGTTTTCAAATCAAAAGTCACCCACTAGATTTACATCTCCTGCTTTTGGAAAGCATCAGGTAGACCTCATGCACTCATTGTGTGTGACTGGTGCAGAAATACACAGACCTGCTGCAAGTATTATTTTGAGCTTATTGAATGACTGGTGTACACAGAAAACTCACACACACCCTAACGAGGTTCCTCAAACTGCTGACCTCGCCCTGCGTGTTTCTAACAGAAACAACAGCTCACACTCTGTCATTAGATGCTGCAAATGCAAACAAGAGTCATAATCTGATGGACCTTTTGATTTATTCTGCCCCTACTTCATTGTAGATGTTGGGCCACGGAGTTGCAGGGAGTGCAGGCTTGAATGCCATGCACTGAGGTCTGGTTCATTGTGGATTTGCAGAAGTGAAAGGGTCAAAACTGGAGTGATATCATTCTTACACCCCATCAGTTTCCCTCTGCTTATCTACCATTCAGCCACTCGCTTATTTGCATCAGACTTTCCTATTCAGATGTGCCTCGTGCACTCCTCTCATTCATTTTTCTCACCTGTTTTTCATTGCTTATCTTGCATGTTTTCAGCGCTGTTTTCCCCTCTTCCGCTCACTTTGTCTCTGTTTGCTCAGTAAATTTCTCTTCCTGTTATTTAGTTTTAAGAGGAAACTAAAGTTAAAATTGGTTCCTTTTTCACCAAAAAGTCATGCATGGTGTCCAGACTTGCAGTCACCCCTGGAAGTGTTTTATTTAACAATGTCAAGTTAAAACAGCAAATGGTACACTTGAGTGCATTTACTATCTCCACCCAACTGGCACACACATCAGAGAGAATCAAGCGCACCCATCCCTTTCACTCAGGCCTATCTGAAGTCTGTCAGGTAACTTGACACACCTGTGCTCACAATGATCTCTGCAGACAAAGAGCCTCAGCTTCAAGCTTCCACAAAGACACTCTGGTAGGAACTGGACATTATATCATTTAATCTGCATTCAGAAGACCAAATCAGCCTTGTTGATGAAATGGGTTTTATGTGTTTAGAATGTAGTTTATTTATTTGTTCATTCACTGTTAACTTAAAAGTAGGTTGTTAACATTACCTGGAAAACTAGTTAATTAGGTCATTGTGATCTGTAATTGATTTTGTTTCATTTGTTTGTAGGTTTTCAACCTGCTCTGTGACTTCTATGTGACTACTTTGACTACTCCGTGCGAAGTCATGGTGGTCTTGCACTGTCAATTGGAATAATCTAAAGACAAAAGATAAATAAAAGATGTCTCTGAGATGAGTGGTTCCTGCGTTTTTTTGAGGGAAGCAAGCTTTTCCAAGTTTGGGCAGAAGCTGAGGTGGTTTAAAGAGAGCAAAAAACTTGACAAATAAAATAAACCCTAAGGATAGGGTCGGAAACATTCTTTTTTTATAATCACTTTGACAGTATTTTGTCACAAGGGCAAGTAAAGAAATACACGACTGCATCGTCATTTGCAAAATAGAAGTATAACATCTTGAATTTTCTGACCGATTTTCGATATCTGATATTTTGATTATGGAGTTGGCATCTTAAATTTTCTCCATCTTCTCATATTAGCACAGCGATCAGCTAGCTTGACCCCGTGTCTGCACGTATTAACAAGAAAATGTAGACCCCTATCTTAAATCCAAAATTTCAAAATGTCCGCCAACATTTTCAAACCCAGCATGTTCCATACAAAGTTAAGATTGAAAGAACAAAACATAGCAATTTGACTTGAATTTATGCCTTTATATTACCTGTTTTTAAAAGTCTTGCTCTCTCTTACTCTTTTGCAGCCTGTACAACCATTTCCTCAATTTCTCATTGAAAGTGAAGTTTAATTTCAAATTCTTGAAGCACATTTGTGCTTCATCTGATTTCAGTTTTAAGAACCTTGTTAACATTTCATTGTCCCAGTAGCGACATCCACACTGAAGAGTGGGGTTAATGCAGCCTGATTAGGTGTGGTGTGTTCACTGCTCAGAAAACATTCAGAATTTTTTATTTTTTTATTTTACAATTGATCAGTCACTGGCCCGGGATGATCAAGGTGAAAATTGTCCGGTGCCACTTACTTACCATCTTTTATGTGTATCTGTTTTTATTTCTTTGATAAAAAGTTTGTATGTTCAGCCAAAAGTCAAAGTGCCGAATACTTTTAGTTGCAGGTTTGAAAGAATAATGTCGAAGATGTCGAGCAACGGTTATGGAAAATTTCCCGTTTTAAACTACAATACTGCACTTTTAAACTGACGTGCTTTAACTTAGCAAACTACTCAATAAAATCTGCAACAACTCCTCAAGTCCTACCACTGAAGAGGTGCATTTATTTTTTCTTGTCAAAATCTTTCATCGCAAAGGATAGTGTTGCATTGATCGCCGAATTGGTGTCGGTCTTCCATGACTCTCTTCCTCAAACAGCTGCGAAGATCCACTGTTGAATCACAGGTTCAATTGTAAGCTTGAATACATTAAAACTACAAATACAGTCATTAACTGAAGAGCGACATTCCTTACCTCTGTTACTAAACACTCTCAGATGTGACCTGTTTTAGCCTTGCAACTTTCCACTATGCAGCTTGACATTAGGATAATGATCCAATTAGTTAAAGCGGACACTCTGTCATTATGTTTAAGAGGCACTGCTGTGACCTTTGATTGTGTCGATTATGATGCAGCACGTTCTTTAATTAAAAATGGAGATGCAAGATATAAAATTGTTCCATTATGTTGAGTAAAACTCGACAAACTGTTGCTTGACTTGCAATGTCTTTACTATAGGAATTATGTTCTGAGTTTACATCACAAAACTTATTTTGATGCAAATCTTTAGTCTGAGTGCATCTTGTTTGTCATCTTGTTCTTCATCGTAGATACACCCTCAGCACCTCCAACTCAGCCATCGCTGCCCTACTGTGTGCCTTGTACCCTCACTTTCCTGCTCACAGCACTGACAACCGGTAAGACCGAAACCTTTTTAAACACACTGCTGGACACAGAGAAAATCCCCGCATGTAAAAACCAAACTTTCTTAAATACCAGGCATTCCTGGACGTACCTGAAAATTAACACACAGTTGTCAGGGATCCTACAGTCTTGAACAGAATGGCAAAGCACATTTTTAGCTTTTCTACATTTGCCAGGATAAGTTTGAACGTGGCAAAACATTAATTTAAATTATTTTCCAGCGAATTAAGATTTTTCACTTTGCAACTTCAGATTCCAGTAAAAAATATTGAGCATTTTAAAACTCGATACACTTGCTCAGAACTTAAAATATTAGAATGAAAATCTACATTGAAAAAGGACCATTTCATTGTCATCTTTGCAATATGAAAATACTTCTACTATCCGTTAAAAACCAAGTAAGTTCAGAAAAATGACAGTTCTTTCTCATATATCGGGTTTTCATTTGTTTTGTGTCTTTAACTGAAAACTGGGTTGATGTTGTTGCAGCTATCACCTGCAGGCCCTGCGGCACCTGGCCGTGTTGGCTGCAGAACCCCGGCTCCTGGTTCCTGTGGACGTCGACTCTCTGAAGCCTTGTTACGCTCTGTTAGAGGTCACTTACAAGGTCAGTGAACGTTGCACTCCTAAAAACAATAATTGATTATATGAGCACTGTTTTTTTGTTTTTTTGTTGTTTTTTTTTGTCAGGTTTTTAATAAAAAGCCGCCTGAACAGCACTTAAAATAAAAATACATAAATAAAAGCCTCTCATTATCGTCAGCCATATATTTACCATTCATGTTTCAGTTGTAAAACCAAATTTCTGCTTTAAGGCATTTCTGTTGGTTAATTTTCCTATGTTTTGACAAGATTTATAGTCATTTTAATCGCATATGACCACCTCCATTATTTTAATCTATTATTTTAAATAAAAACTTATACTGAATCACAGAAGTCATATTTCCATGTGTTCTTATGAGGTTTTCTGGCTCCTTCATACGGTGTTCCCTATTATCGACTATCGTTCTGTCCTCTTATTCGTAAAATAATAAAATATAATACAAAATTCTCAAATGTGCGTGAAGATTGATTCTTAAAAATCGGAGAAAATATGAATGAAACTCACTTCTGTTCATGAAAAACCTCAGTGTTTTAGCCTCACAATCATTGCTTCAACTTTGAGGAACTGAAATTATATTGAATACACAGCATGGCATATATTTATACTCCCTCAAAGGGAATTGTTTGAAAAGGTTTCCAGAGTAAAAGCCAATACACAAAGCCAATGTGTCAAAACACAGAACCCATTGTGTTCCGTGTCGCCCGGTTTTGTTGCTGGCCTCTTTGTGCACGTCACTGTGGCTTCATGTGCGTCATCAAGTACAGTTTTCTTTTTCATTTCCCCTGTATTTTTATTAATACAGAAAATATTGTAAAATATTTCAGTTTACAAGTACTTGTACTGAGGTTTATCACAAATAATCCCAACACTGTATAATTAGTTTCAAAAAATGGGGGAAAACCAGAACTTGGTCTCTTTAAATGTGTTGGGCAATTTCTCAAAAATCTCAGAATTAAGTTCAAATAAATTGCTTGGTGCTTAAAATAATAAAATAATTCAGAAATGGCATTACAGTTGGAATCCATCAGTCTGCCTTCTCTCAAAAGACGACAGCGGCTGATTTTCAGACCTTTGCGCCAGTAGATGAGATCGGTTTCTCCTGCAAGTATCGGCCGATTTATCTGTGCACCCGTACTTTAGATACAAGTATGTGTTTGTTGACCACAGGTGCATATATACATAAATAGATTTTTCCAAATTAATTAAAATACTCTTTCATTGTTCCAGGTTTTTTTGTCTGTGTTACTTTGTAGTTGAAAAATGTTAAAGTAATTAAATCTTGTTACTGTGGCGACTCCCCAGTTGAAGGAGGATTAAAGGTTAAAAGCTGAAGTCGCTGTTTGTATTTAACACTGCCGTTGGCGTCCCGTCACTTTCATTACAATCTCAGCAGAAATCTCAGTTTGACGAATTCAGTGCAGCATCCAGTTCAGGCACACCTGCAGACGAACAAGAGAGATCTGAAGACTACAGCACTGTAGTCCATTTAATTTATAAAAGATAAAACATAAGATAGATTGACAGGTCATGTAACAATTACTTTCAATATGTTAATTATGGGACAGCACCTTAGTTTTAGCCATTCTGCTGTCAACCTCCATAGGTTGTCACATAATAATTGTCAAAATTGATTGCATATTTTAATGCATCTTACTTGTTTTAACAAACCTGAGCAGGGTTTCTTGCAGCTCACGACTCACATAATGTGATGATGTTTGCTTGATCAATCGTTGCTCTCGTTAGGGAACCAAGTGGTATAATGAGACGACAGTGGAACTGATGGCTCCCACCCTCCTTCCTGAGCTTCACCTTCTCAAACAGGTAAAGTTAAATCTTTTCTTTCTGGCCTACAAAACTAAATTAGCATTAAGCACATCATCGAAAGGCCTTTTAACCCCTTTGTTTACTGTAAAGGTAAAAGTAAAGGGGCCACGATACTGGGAATTGTCTCTCGACCTCAGCAAAGAAACTCAACATCTGAAGTAAGTATAGGCAGAACCTTTTGGGAACAAGGTTCAAGTTTTCACGTTTCTAGCCTTTTGCATTCTAGCCGTATTGCTCAAGATGATCCCAACCTAAAAAACAAATGTTTGGTTTTTTATTTTCTTGCTGTTTTTAGGTCCATCCTGGTCAGAGATGGCGTGTTGTATGTGAAGTTGCGGGCTGGACAGCTGCCCTACAAAGACGACCCCCAGGGCTGGAAGAGCCTGCTGGCCACAGCCGTCAGCCACCGAAACTCTGGAGTCACGGCCTTCAAGGTAAACGACAGAGGTCTTTACAGAGATTCTGGCAAATCATAATAATTATAACAATTTTTAATAGGTGTAGGGGCTTGTATAAGGCATAATGGCTGAACACAGTTAAAGATGATTTGTTGAAAATATTGGAAAGTGTTTAAAGAAATAGTCTTGGAACAAAATAAGGTCAATTCTAGCTGCATTTCTAATCCAGCAGAACAATTTCTGTTACTTTGAATGTAATATTACAATCTAGTATGTAGATTTTGATAACTGGCTGAGAAGTGAGTGGTATTGAGTGGAAAGTTTCGTCTCCTCCCCTCTATAGAGAATAATTTTGTCCAGTCTTGGCAGGTTGCCGCTGCAGGTTCAGCTGGCTGCTCTGCAGCTGACAGACCATTACTGCTTACCTCATGGCGTCTGTATGTTCTGTCAATACACCTGCAGGGGAAAAATATGCAGTTTGTTTTCTTACTTGTCCTTGAGGACCTTTCTTGCCTGCCTTCAGTGTTTTCCTTTTTTTCTGTTTTATTAAAATCTTCTTATTCAAACAGGATTTTGTCCAAAAAGTCATTTCTTCCTACATGTGCCGGCTTATATTTTCCTTTTTTTTATTTTTTTTTTCATTGTTGTTGATTCATGTGCTCATGAATCAACCACTTAATGAGACTGTCATTAAGTAAAAAATATATAGCGTAACTGGACTACCACAATAATTGAGAACTATTATTTTTAAAACATAAACCCGATCTCGGTTGTAAGAAGTTCCTTTTTCTTTTGGGTAGAAAATGAGTTTCTGTTTTTTGTTTTGTTTGCAGCCTGAAGCCATTTCTACCTTCACCTCAGAGCCTGCTCTCATCTCCTTTGCTGAATTCTTCTGTAAAACCTCAGAAGGACTGAAATCTGTAAGTTTCACACCAAGCAAAGAGATATTTAGAGCTTGAGACAGTTTGATGCTGGGTTTGTAAAATCTCTGGGCTATCAGGTGGAAAGGACTTGACCTATTGTGTTTGTTTTTCTGCAGCATAGCCAAAGGGACCTCTAACTAAAAAAAAAAAAAAAAAAAAAACCCTCCTCTATTTCTTTAGAAAACAAATTTAACTGTGAGCCATGTTTCAGTTTTATCTTGGGGGTTTTACTGAAACACTGGAAACTTCTTGGGTTAGTCCAGACAGAAACTCCCTGGGGATTCAAATGAAGTTGTTTTCAGATGTGGCTTTTTCCTATTCATACTCATATCTCAACCTGGATTCAGGTTGTTATCCATTTTAATTCATATCATCAGTATATAAGGCGCCTTTTAAACTAAATATAAATGCGTGGAGGAACAAGCCGTTGGTAATAAAACTGAACTCCAAATAAACACAATTAGAGAGAATCTGACAACTTTAATGACTAACGAATCTCGCCTGAGATCATAAATGCTGATTTTGAAGAGGGGGAGAGGCATGTTCCAGTTTTGTCTGAAAAACACGTGTGGTCCTTGGATAAGTGCAAACTTGTGATTGAGGATTTATGACAAACTTGAAGCGGCCGCTGCAGACTGCTTGGTCATCCTTCAGTAGAGCTAAACGACTTCCTGTCTGTTTACCAAAAATCCGCAGCCTGTAAATGCTCAAATAATCCATTCGTTGTGAAATGAGAATTCTTGTTGAATTTGTGTCACGGATGTCATGGCGATAGTTATCAAGGCTTTTCATTCAAGACCACCAGTGTTTATCTTGTGATCGCCCAAACTACCATGGCGAGATCATGTGGAAAGCTTTAATGCAACATCTGGTTTCCCCCCCCCATCATAAGCACCGTTAATGTTTTTAAAATCAGTTTTTCTTCTGTTTTAAGCAAAGTGTCTTCCTATGTGCCACACCCTGCACACACTCATTTTAATTGTTTTAAAGTGGACAGACGGATGTTGAGTCTGATTATTAATCACTTGCCCTCTATTTTGCGAGAAAGAGGTGGGCTGCTTCATCATGACTTCAGGTTAATTAGGTGGATTAGAGGCCTGCAGTTTCAGATTCAGCTCTGAAATGGGAGGAAACGCATCACATCGGAGCATAACTGTGACTGTTTGTAAATGAAGATAACGTCTGTTTTCCTCCAGCCGCCTA